TGTCTGCTTTCCTTGATGGGAGTTAGGACTGGATACTCCCGAGGGATGGGAGCCTGAGGAGGAGCCCAGATTCCTGTTCCTGCCTGGAGGGGGCGGGTGGGGGGGGGCGTGGGAAGGCCTTGACTAATTACGTCCACTCTCTGAGCCTCAGCTTTCTCATCTGTGGGTATAGGAACACTAATAATACTGACAATATACTAATCCTGATCATGGTAAGTCCGATACGTGTTCTAGACCAATAAGGTGATACCAGTACATTAACACACCTAACACGTTCGTTCCTTTCTCCATCAAACATTTATTGAACATCGATTATGAACCAGGAGTTAATGAAAAATAAAACAACAACACACAGATGTGAGCCGACTCTTACCGTGGGCTTACCTTCCTAGCGGAGGGAGACAGACAATTAAGAGAAAACATCCCTACACCAGAGACATCTCAGGCCGTGATAAAGACTCTGAAGGAAACAGAACGGAGTGATGGAGATAAGGACAGTGTGGGGGGGAACCTACTTTGAACAGGGTGATCAGGCCCGGCCCCTCCACGGAGGCGACATCTGAGCTGAGACCCGAAGACAGGAGCCGTTTGAATGCTGGGCGGAGAGCAAGCGCAGAGGCTCCTGAGAACAAACTCAGGTTGTTTGGGGAGCAGACAGAAGGGCCAGTGTGTCTGGGATACAGGGAGCTGGAGGGAGGGTAGGAAGGGAAATCAAAGAGGCCCCTTGAAGACTAGGGGCGGAGCTTGGATTTTCATTCTAAGTGCAATGAGAAGTCCTGGGAAGGTTTTAAAGGAAGTGCAGTACCAGCCATTTAACGCTAACTATTATTCTTGGATTATTTCTTGGGTTATTGCATTTGGGTGGGTTGGGATGGTTTCTATGTAGCTGGGTCTCTTAGAAGAGTTGGGTGGTGGTGAATAGTGAGGGACAGGGGTTCTGATAAGAAACCGAGAGCTGGAAAACTGAAATTTAGGGCCCCTGCATCGGAAGGAAACTGGGCGATAGCATGAATGTGTATCTGATGGGGCCAGAGCTGGGGGAGGGAGCGAGATTGGTCATGTGGGCTCCCTGAGGGCAGTTCAGTGGTTGGGTGGGTACTTGGGGAGACTTGGAAGCTGGGGGTACCAGTACAGCACGGACTCTAGAAACACACTGGCTGGCTTCAAATCCAAGATGCTTTACTCACTAGCTGTGATTTTGGGCAAGTTCCTAAAAACCTCTCTATGCCTTAGTTTTGCTATCCGTCAAATGGGGATAATAGTGAGTGCACCATAGGGTAGTTTTTAGAGTAGTGCCTGGCACATCATAAGCACTGTTGTATGTGTTAGTTATACCAGGTATTGGGGCCCTGAGTGGATTCAGTACTGGGGGACCCTAGATCAAGGTCTTGAGAATCTGGGAAAGGGGCACATTATTGGGTCCCAAGATGAAAAAGTTGGAGTACAAAATGAGGGTCCCTCGGGTTAGGGAATAGGTAGGTAGTCTTAAATCTGCCTTTCAGAAGGAGAGAAACTGGGGGGTCTGAACTCAGAACCTCAAGCAAGTTAGAAAGTCTGGGTCACTAAGGGAAACACTGGGAGCTAGAGGGCCACATGCTTTTCAGGGAGTGCAGGCAAAGGGGGCCAAGGGGCTGGACCACAGGTCTGGGGAGGAGTCCAGGAACCAGGGGTTAGGGAGATGGAAATTTGAGCGGGGGAGGTGGAGAACAGGGGGGTAGGGCTCCGAATCAAGTTCCCTGAACGGTATCAGCACGGTACTTGGTATCCAGGGGTTGTTCAGGGGGTCCCCCGTGTTAGGGCCTGTGCAAGGGGAAGAGTCAGAGGATCTGAGAGCAGTGGAGGGATCTCCCCTTCCTGGGCCTCCAACGCTGCGAGCTGAGCTGAGTGCCCGCGAGCCGCTTCCTCCCACAGGAAACCGCAGGCTTCAGGCACACCCAGCTTGCAGGGCGCTTCGCCCACTGCCAGCCCGCTCTGGGGAGGCCCACGTGGGTAGCAGCAGTCCGCCGAGGGGGCGTGCCCTGCGAGGGGCGTGGACGGAGAACGGGGGCTGGCGCGGCTTGCGAGAGGCCACGCCCACTTCCGTCTCAGTGGTCGGACTCTGGGCAGCAAAGGGTTTGTGGCGGCTTCTCTGGAGGCCCTGGGCCGCGCATGCGTAGTGAGCCTCTGCGCGGACCTGAGGTCGTGAGCGGCCCCGCCTCCCTGCTAATGAATCCTCAGAATGCTTGGTCTCAGTTTAAGACACGCTTCTCTCGGGCTGGTGCAGAGCCTTCCAGACGTTTCCCTCTCAGGCCTGCCATCGCAGGCTCTTTCATCTCCCTCCCACTCCCGGGTACATCCCCCCGCCCCCCGCTTCTCAGGCCCGTGCTCGCAGGTTGGCCACTCCGACCACCTACAGGTCCAGCCAGAGCGCCAGCCAGTTAGCCCCGTCCCATCAGGTCTGGGGAACCGGAGTCTTTCCAGCGTCCTCTCACCAGGCTCCTCGCTGGTTCTTCCAGGCACGCCCCTAGCTGGCCCCTGCCGCCCCGCCCTCCTCAGGTACCCTGTCCCACCCCTCACCGCCGCAAATCTCGCGGCTACGTCCCTCCATACCTCCGAGCCCGGACCCTCAACGCCTCCCAGCCCCGCTCCTCCACGTCTCTCAGTCCCGCCCCTCAACATCTCCCAGCTCCGCCTCTCAACATCTCCCAGCCCCGTCCCTCAACCCATCCCAGTCCCGCCCCTCAACATCTCCCAGCTCCGCCTCTCAACATCTCCCAGCCCCGTCCCTCAACCCATCCCAGTCCCGCCCCTCAACATCTCCCAGCTCCGCCTCTCAACATCTCCCAGCCCCGTCCCTCAACCCATCCCAGTCCCGCCCCTCAACATCTCCCAGCTCCGCCTCTCAACATCTCCCAGCCCCGTCCCTCAACCCATCCCAGTCCCGCCCCTCAACATCTCCCAGCTCCGCCTCTCAACATCTCCCAGCCCCGCCTCTCGACATCTCCCAGCCCCGCCCCTCAACGCCTGCCGGCGCCGCCCCTCGTCGGGCTCCCGTTTAAAACCCCGAAGATCCCAGCTCGTCTTCTCCCGCCTCCTCGGCCACGCCTTCCAGTTTCCCCTCCCACGACCTCCCCTCTGGTCCTGGTCCCGCCCCGGCCGCTGTCCTCAGGCCCCGTTGGCCCCTTATCTCCCCAGTAACCGGACCACAACACTGAGCTCGGAGCACCCAGGATGGACAGGTTAGGCGTTCCAGCAGGTAGGGACTGGGCCTCGCTCTGCACAGGGTCCCCTTTCCTCTGTGATTCCTCCCCCAGACAGCCCGCCTCGGAGATGTGAGAGCCTCGGGACCGCCCGACTGGCTGGCTCAGCGGTTGAGCCTCGACCTATGAACCAGGAGATCACGGTTCGATTCCCTGTCAGGGCACATGCCGGGGTCGAGGGTCCGATATCCAATGCGGGGTCTGCAGGAGGCAGCGGATCAATGATTCTCCCTCATCATCGGTGTTTCTATCTCTCTCTCCCCCTCCTCTCTGAAATCAATACAAATATATATATATATTTAAAAAGAAAGCCTAGGGTAGACTTCAGAGGCCAGGGTCAGAGCCACGATGCAAGACTGAATGCAAGGGGCGGGCGGTTGAGAGGAGTGTGGGGAGGGGCCTGAGAGGTGCCCCCTCCAACCCCTGGAGGAATTGCGAGTCAGAGAGAGGCCAGAGCTGGCCCTGGGGTGGCCTTCTCATTCCTAGTCCCTGGCTCATTGCCCACCTCCTCCCCACCTCCTCGCCACCCTCTGCCTGAAGGGGTGGGTCCCGTGTCGCCTCTACAGGACACTCGCAATCGTTGGCTAAGCTGGCCGCAATGGGCACCCGCTCGGAGGAAGGAAGCGAGGCCTTCCAGGAAACACTAGGTAATCCTGACGCCCCTTCTTCCCCTCATTCTGGTCCTTGGCACCCCCAGGTTTCGGGTCCTGAGCTGCGGGGCTCCGGGGACAGGGAGGCCTTCCAGAGCGGCCTCTAGCGGGGGCAGCAGCTGTGCGCGAATGGAGGTGGGACTGGGCATAGGTATGGGCAAGGCCTGGAGAGTGGGATGGGCCCGGCGGACTTCCTGCAGGAGGAGACGTGTCAGTGGGGCCCAGAGTTCCCCCGAATTACCAAAGCGGGGAAGGCAGGGGAGAGGGTCAGCAGAGAGAACAGCCTGCGGCCTGAGCAGGGGTTTCTCAACCTCTGCACTGCTGAGGTCGTCAGTTCTTGCTGAGGTCGTCAGTTCTTGTTGTGGGGGCGGCCTCTAGCCGCTTGCATGCCAGTAGCACCCTCTGCACCCCCCCACCCCACATCCGGCAATGGAAAATGTCTCCAGACATTGCCAAATGTCCACGGGGGATAGAGCCGCTCCAGGTTGCCCTGACCGGTTTGGCTCAGCGGATAGAGCGCCAGCCTGCGGACCGAAGGGTCCCAGGTTCGATTCTGGCCAAAGGCATGTACCTTGGTTGCGGGCACATCCCCAGTAGAGGGTGTGCAGGAGGCAGCTAATGGATGTTTCTCTCTCATCAATGTTTCTATCTCCCTTCCTCTCTGTAAAAAATCAATAAAATATATTGGAAAAATAAGAATCGCTCCAGGTTGAGAACCACTGGGCCGTGCGTGGTAGGTGCGGAGCTGGTGGAGGAGACCCGGAGAGGAGGGTAGGGTCAGGTCAGGTCATGTGGGGCCTTGAACACCAGGCTGAGGGCGCTGGAGCAAGGAAGAGGCAGGGTCCACTCTGGTTGTAGAAAGCCCCTCGGGGATTGTGAGGGGAGGCGGGGAGGCGGAGGAGGAGGCTGGGGTGATGGTCTAGGCAGGAGGGGATGAGGCCTGGGCCTAGGACAGTGGTCGGCAACCTCATTAGATTGAAACACGAAGTTCCAATCACACTGTATGTGTGCGCCCGAACGTGGTATTTTGTGGAAGAGCCACACTCCAGGGCCCAAAGAGCCGCATGTGGCTCGCGAGCTGCAGTTTGCCGACCACGGGCCTAGGCGATGGTCTGAGAGTGAGGAGGCGGGAGAATGGGACTGAGGATGGCTGGGCAGTGGAGGCGGAAGGCCAGGGAGGGAGCCAGAATGCAGCCCTGGTCACCTTGCTCAGCCCCCCAAGTTCCAGTCTTGTGTGGACTGGAACTTCCTCCCCGGCCTCCCAGGAGCACCCTCTCGTGGGTGAAAAAGATTGATGCCCAAGCCGGCGAAGGGGTGGGTTTAGTGCAGCGGTTCTCAACCTGTGGGTCGTGACCCCTTTGGCGGTCGAACGACCCTTTCACAGGGGTCCCCTAAGACCATCCTGCATATCATATATCTACATGACGATTCATCACAGTAGCAACATGACAGTGATGAAATAGCAACAAAATAATTCTATGTTTGGGGGTCACCACAACATGAGGAACTGTATTTAAAGGGCCAGAAGGTTGAGAACCGCTGGTTTAGGGGCTCAAGTCTCCAGGTCAGCTTGGGGTACGGGGGCGTACGAAGGGATGAGAAAGCTTGAGGCCGTCCTGGAGGGGCGCTGGAGGCTGGGTCTCCGTTCAGTTGCAGCTTATGAGATCCCAAGGGATCCAGGATCCCTAGGTCCCGGGGCGGAGGGGGCCAGGGTCTGGATTCCTACTGAGCGGCTTGCCTGGCCCCTCCCTCAGTGGACTGGGAGCTGAGCCGGCTGCAGCGACAGTACAAAGTGATGGAGGTTGAAAGGCGGGCCTACAGCAAGGAAGTCCACCAGCGCATCAATAAGCAACTGTGAGCCAAGTGCCTGAGTGTGTGTGAGTGTGAGTGAGTGTGTGTGAGTGTGAGTGAGTGTGTGTATGTGTGAGTGTGTGTATGTGTGTGTGTGTGTGTGTGTGTGTGTGTGTGTGTGTGAGTGTGTGAGTGTGAGTGTGTGAGTGTGTGTGTGTGTGTGTGTGAGTGAGTGAGTGTGTGTATGTGTGAGTGTGTGTGTGGGGGGGAGGTGATGGGGGGAGGGAGGCTATTAAAGAGGCTGGGGGCCGGAATCCTGGGTCCCACAACGAGGAGGCAGGCCCAGTGTGTGTGGCCTTTGTGGATGCTGAGCTCTGCTCCTCGCCGGCCGCCCCCCTGCCCCCCCCCGCCCCGGGCAGTGAGGAGATCCAGCGCCTGCAAGACGTGCAGAACAAGCTTCAGGTGAAGATCGGCATTGCCCAGAGCCAGGGCAAGCGCCTGCGGGACAACGAGAGGATGGAGAACATGAGCCAGCTGCTGAAGTGCCGGGCCCAGGTGGAGGCCGAGGTCAAGGAGCTGCAGGAGCAGACCAGAGCCCTGGACCGGCAGGTGGGTTCTGAGACCGGGCTCCGTGGGTCCCACTTAGGGGCAGATGCCCTCGCGGTTCGGAGCCTTAGCTTCCTCCTCTGAAAACCCGGGCTATGGAAAGCATGCCCCTGGGAGAGTGGTGCTGGGGCTCCAGGGGGCATAGGGGTGTGAGTGATGAGCACAGTCCCAGATGCGGGGGGTGAGGGGTGGGAGGGGGGAGCTGGGGCAGCGAAGGGGAAAGGCCCGGCGTCCGGAGTTGGCGGAACCGGCATTGGCATCCCAGTCCTGCCTCAGCAGAGCTGTGTGAGCACAGGCCAGTGTTCACCTCTCTGGACCCTACCTAGTTCCTTCCTTGTCTAATCGCACCTGTCTCCAGGGCTTGCTAGTTGACCTTGGAAACAATGTGACTTTTCGATGCCAGTGTTCTATGTGGGATTCATGGTCATCGTTTTCCCCGACTCTTCATGAAAAAAGTCGCTTGTGCCCTGGATGGTATGTTCAGTGGTTAGAACATCGGCCCATGTCCCAAAAGGTCTTGGGTTTGATTCTCGGTCAAGGGCACAGACCTGGGGTATAGGTTGGATCCCTGGCTCCAATCGGGATGAGTGTGGGAGGCAAACAATTGATGTGTCTCTCTCACATCAATGTTTCTCTCACTCTCCTCTCCGCCTCCCTCTCTTCCATTCTCTCTAAAAAGCAATGGAAAAAATACCCTAGGGTGAAGATTAACAACAACAGCAACAAAAGTTGGTTTTCGGCCTGGTTAGCAAGTCTATTTTGAAGAAGTGGCGTTAGAAGAAGTGGGGGTACGTTCGCTGAGGTCGACCCCTCAGATTGAGGACATTTTTAGCAAAGGCCAGCTTAGGAGCACCCTAATGAAGTTAATAACACTGTACCTACCTATAGAGTTTAAGTTTAAAAAATTTGGCTCTCAAATTTCAATCATTGTACTGTTGATATTTGGCTCTGTGGACTAATAAGTTTGCCGACCACTGGGCTAGACTAAGTGGTTTCTTGCACAGTATGGGATCACGAACAGGAGGTTGAAATGTATGTGCCTTGGTGGTCTGCATTCATTTCCTATTGCTGCTGTAACAAATTATCATCAACTGGGTGACTTAAAATGACACACATCGCCCGGCCGGCGTGGCTTGGTGGTTGAGCATCGACCCATGAACCAGGAGGTCACGGTTCGATTCCCAGTTCAGGGCATATGCCCAGGTTGTATGCTCAATCCCCAGTGTGGGGCGTGCAGGAGGCAGCCGATCCATGATTCTCTCTCCTCATTGATGTTTCTATCACCGTCTCCCTCTCCTCTCCTCTCTGAAATCAATAAAAATATATTTAAAGAAATAATACACAATTATCTTATGGTGCTTGAGGACAGAAGTCCAAAACGGGCCCCACTGGGCTGCAGTCCGGATGTCAGCAGGGCAGTGCTCCCTCTGGAGCAGCGGTTCTCAACCTGTGGGTCCCGACCTCTTTGGTGGTCGAACGACCCTTTCTCAGGGGTCACCTAAGACCCACCTGCATGTCAGATATTTACATGACGATTCATCACAGGAGCAACATGACAGTGATGAAGTAGCAACGAAGATAATTTTATGGTTGGGTCACAACACGAGGAGCTGTATTTAAAGGGCCAGAGGGTTGAGAACCACTGTGGAGGCTTCAGGGGAGAATCCATTTCTTGGCCTTTTCTAGTTTCCAGAGAGGCCGCCTGCGTCCACAGACTCAGGGCTCCTTTACCTTCTGAGCCATCCGTGATCAGCTGCGTTTTCCTTATGACCAGCTGAGTCTTCCCCTGACTTCCGCTTCTGTCATTTCTTCTCCTTTGCTGATTCTGACTCTCCTGCCTCCCTCCTTCACTTGGAAAAGCCCTTGTTATTACTGTAGGCCCGCCCAGGTAATCCGGAGACTCCCGCTCTCGACATCCTTAACGCGTGACCTCTACAAAGTTCCTTTTGGCCACTTAAGGTCACATAGTCACAGGTTACAGGGATTAGAACAGTGATGGCGAACCTGTGACACACGTGTCAGAGGCGACACACGAAGTCATCTTTTGGGTTGATTTTTCTTGGTTAAGTGGCATTTAAATATATAAAATAAATGTCAAAAATGTAAGTCTTTGTTTTACTATGGTTGCAAAGATCAAAAAATTTCTATATGTGACACGGCACCAGAGTTAAGTTAGGGTTTTTCAAAATGCTGACACGCCGAGCTCAAAAGGTTCGCCATCACTGGATTAGAATATGGACATCTGGGGGCGGGGGAAGGATTGTTCTGTCTTCCGCATGGTCTATAATGATTACGTTTGACTTCCAATCAGTCGGTCTGTTCAGCTCTCAGTATCACCCTGCCACTGAGCTAAACTGGCTAGGGCCACGCCCAACTTTTGACTGCTTCTTGGTAGTTCTGTGGCTTAGTGGGTGTTGGCTGCTTGATTGGTTTTCCTTCGTCTTCCATGGAAACTCCCCAGAGTCAGGCCCAACTAGGATAATTTTATGATCTTGGCCCCATGGATTCCGTTGCCCTGACAAACTTGATTACGGAGAATTATAAATCAGGTGGCGGATAGGGTCCCTGGAAGAGAGCTCTGTAAAATTCCCCATAAGGTCAAGAAAGGTTGTAGATATCTGATAACATTCATCCATTCAACAAATATTTCTTGAGTGCCTTCTAAGTGCCAGGCACGGTTCTAGGTCGGTGTGGAGGACACGGCAGTGAACAAGAGAAGGGCCCTGCTGTCCTGTAATTTACATTCTACTGGAGAGACAGGTAATAAGCCAGGTGAAAGCTGAAGGAAGAATTTGTTCAGAAAAACTCACCCACGCCTGACCGGTGTGGATCAGTGGATAGAGCGTTGGCCCTCGGACTGAGGGGTCCCAGGTTTGATTCCGGTCAAGGCCATATACCTTGGTTGCAGGCATATCCCCAGTGGGGAATGTACAGGAGGCAGCTGATCAATGTTTCTCTCTCATCGATGTTTCTAACTCTCTATCCTTCTCCCTTCTTCTCTGTAAAAATCAATAAAATAATAAAAAGAAAAAAAAAACTCACCCAGGATCCAGCAAGAAAGACGAAAAGATAGGAAATATGGGAGGGTGCTTAAGAGACACTGCAGATACAGTGAAGTGTAAGTATATATCAAGTAAGAGTTTAAGAAGAAAGAGAGTGGGGACAGGGGTAATGTGTGATACCATAGGACCTGATAATATTCTGGAACCAATGAAAGAACAAATCTACAGATTCAAGGATGTCTTAGAATCCAGAACAGGGAAAACTGGCAATGTAGAATTCTATAACCAGTGAAAATACCATTCACAGACCAGGGAGCAGAATAGACATGGTCTGGCGAAGGAAAACATAGAGTGAGACATGGTGTCTCGCCAAAGGCTTGCGTCTTGTATGACTCGACACGTGACTTCAACAGAACCTAGAGACGCTGTTTCTAAATGTTCACTCTCATTTCTTGAACCCATCACATCAGAGACTGATGACAATCCTTGAACTTGTACCAGTTCATAGTACCCGTCTGTATAGATATAAAAATGTATTTGATAAAGTTCAGCATCTATATTTATGTTAAAAACTCTCAGAGAGCCAGGAAGAAAGGAAGTTCCCCAAATTTGATAAAGGGCAATTATAGAACATTTACAGCAAACATCATATTTGATAACAAAACATACAAAAATTACTTTTGAGATCAGTAACAATATAAGGATGTCCAAATAGCATAACTTCTATTTGACATTGTACTGGAGAATTTATCCAGTGCCATATGGCAAGGAAAAGAAAAAAATAAATAAAGATTGGAGATGAAGACACAAAATTGTCATTATTTTAGATGGTATATTTGTATACATAGGAGATCCAAAAGAATCTAATGCTAACTTATAATTCACAAGGTATTTTAACAATGTGACTGTATACAAAATTAATATGCACAGTTAATGATATTTCCCTGTATTAGCGTATAAGCAGTCACTATCCTATTAATAAAAGGCTAATATGCAAATTGACCAAACGCCAAATGACTGGTCACTATGATGTACACTGACCACCAGCGGGGCAGACACTCAACGCAGTCTCTCCTGCCTCCATGGCAGCACTAAGAATGTCTGACTGATGGCGGGCCTAAGGGACCCCCCCTCAGGCCAGGCTGAGGGACCCCCCACCCCTTGATTGCACAAATTTCGTGCACTGGGCCTCTAGTTAGAAAAATACAAGAGAAGAAAAGACATTTATAACAGCCAAAAGAAGTAGCTAAAAAGAAATCTAGCAAAAGTGCACAAAACTTCTATGGAGTAAATTATAAATTTTGTTGATACCAAAGAAGAATTTAATAAATGTAGAGATATACCATATTCATGGATTGGAAGAGTTAGTGTTGTAAAAGGTCAGATCTCCAAATAGATTCAATGTAATCCCAGTCAAAGTACTAAAAGCTTCTTTTTTTTTTTTTAAATGTATGGAACTGACTAGCATCTTCTAAGCTTTATAGGGAAGCACAATGAAACAGTATGACTAAGATTGACTTAAAAGGAGAACAATGTAGAAGGATTTTCTCTACCGTTATCAAGATTTATTATACAATTCTTGTAATTGGTGCAGGGCAAATCCAATGGATCAGCAGGACAGGATAGAGATTCCTAAAAGAGACTTATGTGGACACTTGATATTTGACCCCAGGAAATGGGAAAAGGAGGATAGTGTGGGTACCCTCACACTCCAAACCCCTAAAACTAATTCCAGATGGGTCAAAGGTCTAAATGTGGGGAGGTGAGGGAGAAATCTCTACTTATAAAAGAAAAGGTTGATATATCTCATAATTTTAAAGTTAATAACATCTGTCAAAAGAACCAAAAAGGGTGTGCAAAGTCCGTCTAGGAAATGGAGGTTATTGGCTACACATACAGCTGACAAGGGACTCGTATCAAAACCATGTAAGGCATTGTTACAAATCATTAAAGAGTAAGCACAATTTATTTTTAAAGAGATGCCAAAGAATTTGAGCTGAC